CACTACCTCTACTCTAGCATTGCCATACATTAAAACACACAACATCATAATTATTATTATTTTTTTACTTGTTTAACATATATTATATTATATTATACCATCCAAAAAGTTGTATATTCAATTCATGTATATATTTAACCTTATTTTATATGTTGTTAACATTGGTCCAGTTACCTGGAGTCGCGAAGCACAACACTTGACGTCGTTGGCGTGCTACGGTGTATGTTATGGCACATCACTACTGCGAAGCTTACTTTTCTTTAAAACAATACTATTAAACTACGCAAGAGTAAGTATTGAGCAAGATTAGACTCTATAGTTTTGATTATGTTAAGCCATGTCATAGATTGCAGTATTTATATTTTCTTAACTTAATAACAAAATTTATAATTAATTTATAAAAATGACATTCAATTATTATATATCGTTTATGCAAAATCAGTGTTAAGCGGCATTATATTTAGCCCACGCCGCGTGGCGCCACGTTCGGGAAGATACATACTCGGTTTCATACGTTTGATCGACTATAGACTATAGTATAGGGTGGGCCTATATAATCACTCCAATACAAAATATATGAAACCCACCTGCACGGGCGGGCGGGCTAAATATAAACGCACCATTAATTGCAACATTATGACGTAATGGTTCCATATATTAATTAACTAAAAATGACTAGAGAGGAATGTTATGGCAACAAATCATCGATGAAACAGTTTAGCATCTCTGTTGGCAACGTCCTATCAGATTATTGTCACATACTTAAGCTAATTGGCGTGTATGGGCAAAAGGTCCAGGCGAAGATGTCTGAATTCAATGTATTATGTCGCAGCCCCTTTTTGCCGTCTTTCCAATTTTATATTCACCATAAAGGCGCCAAACTCCGCCATATTGTTATCGCTATTCACGAGACTGAACGTATTTTAGTGGTAAAACCAAGGGCAAGAAATATTTGCAAGGACTCTAGTTAGGCCGCTATGGAACAAACTCTTTAGGGGCCTTAAATAACTAATACTAGTCATCATAAAGCAAAAACAAGCCCATCGGGTTTCTCAGCGCGACAGGCGTTGCACGTAGTCTGTGGAACAACGCGCATCTGATTGAATTTTAATTTTATATAGCTTTTTGATAGCAGGTGTGAAGGTAATGTTGACCGATCACTATCTACTCCGTATGCAATCTAAATGCTGCGACCTTTGTACACTTGGAAGTATTGAGCAAACAATTCTATAATTTTGGCTACATTTTGGCCTGAATTTGGCAAAATAAGTCCCACATCGTTCCAGGAAGACGGTAGGCCTCAAGCGAAGCGTACTAACGGTCTAAACTACGTGTCTACAAGCGCTCCTTCCGGTGAGATATCTTCGAGGAAAAATCTTAATATGCGCACGGCGTCCTCCACGCAACAACCCAAAAAGGACGAGCTGTGAAAATATTAACACTGAAGATTTTTCTTCGAGTCGTTCTGACATCGGGAGGAGAGCCATTAATAGCACGTTTCACAACCAACGTGTGGCTAAACGCCCTTTGAAAAATTGACAGTGGAATATTAATATGGAAGAATCTCTTTATTTACGTATAAGTCCATGCCAACCATGCCGAGTTTGAAGTACAAGGTTAGTTACAAGACGCGAGTCTACACTATGATACATGCCTAGTCAGCTACGCCGACTTACCGATCCGACGATCGTACCCCCCTCCCCATAGTTAAGGTAATATTCCCGTGGGGCAAATGTTTTCGCACGACTCTATCACACTCAAACTCTACGTTTCCAAAAATAAAACAAAGTTCAAAACGTGCAGCGAATAAGTGAAACAAACCATAACCCAGCACAAAAGAATCCACCCCACGCTTCAGAGCTACGAAATAAAACACACATTTATTGTTTCTAATCATAATATTGTAATGACACAAAGGGTATTCTAGGTGCTCCATTACATTACGGGCAAACTAATTCTGCTAAATACAAAACTACTTCTAACCTACTGCCGCGGTCCGTCCGGCGGACGGACGGACCGCGGCGACCGAGCAACCAGCCGGCGTGAATACAGGAGTGTTTAGAAAAACAAAAATAAAATATACTTTGTTAATATGCCCGATGTTTCACTGAGATAAATATAATTTGCCAGTGAAATATTGGGTGTTAATATATAAATTATTATCGAAGAAAAATTAAGTACATAATAATAACTAAAGGGCGCCGCTTCATCTAATATTTGGCAAGACACCAAGCGGTCGCCAGCGGAGGGTTACTATGAGACATCACAATAATATTATCAACCATCTAATACTGAGAATTTCAGAGGAAAAATGCTAATATACAAAAGGTGTTGTCATCGAACGAGCGGCGTGCGGCGTGATTCCGTGTCAATAAAAAAAAAAAAGAAACAAATTACACTTACTCAGTGTGTTAAAAAAACTGAGATAAAATAATTCCAGGAAATGATTATTATATTAAGACATTATTGTGTATTGGAACAGAAAGCGCGCCGCACGCGAAATAATCTCAAGAGGTTCTAGCCTACTTACACTAAGAATACTGCTATAATAAAAGGACAGGTATGTGTATAATGTGATAATAGCATTCGGTAGCCCTGGTGGGTGAAAAACCTATATAAAATTAAATTATATTGATAAGGGGACGAGTAAGGGACGCTATAATATCTAACATCCATAATATACAAGTGTGTAAGAGTATTTATTGCGAGTCATGTATGTATAATCACACTAGTGTAGTATTCATTGGACACAATTTTCCACACACCAAGGTTACAGTTTGTGAGTCGGCTGGCGGGGGAATGTAGCCGACCAAGCTACCGCATGCATTCGGCTCTACTCTTACCGCTCGGCTTTGCCTGAGTGCCGACCAGTGTTATACAGGTAAACAGCAACCATATATAAGACTTTAGAATTTTGACATTATATAATTAAACTTCTTGAGCGTTATTATTTTGGTAAACACATTGCTCTCATTACATTTAATTAATATTATTTTCTAAAGAGAGAAACTATCTATATTAAGAAATGATTAAAATATGTTAAGTACTCAAATCACTTTAGTAATACTTGCCAGGACCACGTCCCGAAATTTAGACTTATAACCTACAAATTGCACAAACACAACCTTATAATTGTCTTTTATAATAATACTCTCTAATCACAGGATGTAAGATGTATTGCTTTCGATTTAAAACTACAAATTAAGTACTACCAGCGAAATGGGATATCTAGATATTAAAAATACGATTAAGTTTAAATCATGGCAAGTAAAAAGCAGTGCCCAGTAACTATCTACAAGGCAGTTGCGAAGGGCAAAGACGAAATAAAAGAAACCATCACCTTTCAAGGTAACCTTATATCAGATAATGACGTACCTTCATACATCTCCGGTAGGGCAAGATGGCTTGAAATATCTACCTGATGAGGTAATACTCCTTTAAATTTAATAAAATTATAGTAGATAATTTTGTTATTAAGACCCATTCTCAAAGCGGGTGTTATTATTTTCACCAATTCTCGAAGCGGGCCAAACACTAATTAAGTAACCTTATCAGTCGAGTTAAATACTGCTAAGTTATATGTATAAATACTGACGACGAAATATTTCAGTGACAAACTGAAGTTCGACCAACACATCTAGACAAATCGAGTTTTGGAAAATTTTATACAGTTTAATATGTTTTGTCATTATTATCATAAATATTGTATTCAGAAATAAAAATCACCTATCTAATTATACCTTCACATCTAATTGGCGCCCAACGTGGTGTTTTGGCGCCCAACGTTTTATATTGTCACAAATGTGTATCAGATCGTCCCCAGGCAAAGACAAGCGATATCTACAGCTTACATTTAGCTTATTGTCACTTGACACTCGAAGGTGTTAGTTGCATTCCCTGCTATCAACTAAACTATAATTAATACGTACTAAACTTTGCCTAGTGCATTGCGGTGTACTTTTGTGTTTAAAATATTTAATTTTTGAGCCAAATTTGTATAATCGTCGAATCTATTAAATTTATCTTGAGAATATAAATTAATATTTTACATAACCGTTAAATATCAAACTCAATGGTGATCATTACGATCGTATAAAATACGAAAATATGCACGTAATAATAATTTAATACACAAAAGTTACCGCAAGACTACGCTGGCTAAACTATAATATAATATCTACGTAAATATGTAATACATAAGTGTACGTTAATGAGATTGCTTAATCAGTTAGATATGTATGAGAGAGTATCATGAGCTTGCGAGGGGCGAGCGGGACGTCCAGTGACGCGAGCGACGCGTCTCATCAATTATCTTAAAAACGAAGCTGCGCGTCCACCCCCGAGGATAGTTAACTAGATCGGGGTCTCATCGAAATTGTCATTAGTCATTCCACGAAAGAAGCCTCGTATCCGTTTATCGCTCGTCATCCACGAACAATCATAGCGCTCGTCTACGAGTTCTATTACTATCGAAGATTCTACAAAAAAGACGATTTGGCACAAGAAAGGTAGGAATTTCATCGTAAACTTTGAGCAAACGGTCCACAGATCGAGATCTCGATATAGACGCCCGAGACCCGCTCGAGCGCTCGCAACCGGGGAAACCATAAAATGAAAACACCGAACCTTCGGAGCGAAACGTGGCGCCGCTCGAGAGCGCCTCGCGGCACGCGACTCCCGCTCACCCTGAATATATTCACGCCTATTTCGAATAAAAAATACAGAGCTGCGATGAGATTCGTACATTCGTCCAATAATATAAATAACAGTCAAGTATTTCGCCAACGAACGTGCACTATCTACAAACTAGGTCAAAAACGTAAGGGGACAGTTCTCTTTCGAACTAAATTATCTGAGATCACCTTAAATAAAAAAAAATGCGTCATCTTTGAAATCGGTCCTGCGCTCCGAATACTGACAAGGGGGGGGGGTCGCGACCCTAAAAAGAAATAGGAACTGTCGAGAGAACGAAAACGCGCCTAGCCTCCGACGGTCCGCGCCTAGATGTACATCGGGAGGCCGTACATGGCGCTCCAGTCGACGCCCTGGAAGGAGGACATGTCGACGCCCGCCAGCGAGTACGCGGCGCCGAACTGCGGCAGCGCGGGCGCGGGCGCGGGCGCGGGGGGCGCCACTAGCGCGGGCGCGGCGGCGGCGGGCAGCGCGTACGGCGCGTACCGGTACGCGTGCGCCGCGCCCACGCCCCCCACCGCGCTCACGCCCCCCACCCCCACCCCTCCCGCCGCCGCGTACACGAGCCCCCGCCCCGGCCGCAGCACCAGCCGCTTCCCGAGCGCCAGCGGCGCCGCCGCCACCGCCTCCTTGGGCTGCGCCCGTTTGCACTCCACCTTCTTGTTCTTGATCGTGTGGAAGTGTATGTCGCAGACGCGCTCGACGGCCTCCTCCGAGTGGAAGGTGACGAAGCCGAAGCCTCTGTGGCGTTTGGTCTGCTGGTCCATCAGCATGACCGCGTCCTCGACGAGGCCGAACTGGGAAAAGTAGGCGCGCACCTCGTCCGCGGACGTGTCCTGGCCGACGCCGCCGACGAATATCTTCTTCGTCTTGGCGGGGCGCGGGGCCGACTTGGGCGTCGCGTGCTTCGGGTCGATGCGTTTCCCGTCGAGCGTGTGGACGGGCACCGCGAGCACCTTGTCCACCGCCGACGCGTCCTGGAACGTGATGAAACCGAAGCCGCGCGAGCGCTGCGCGCGGCCCGCGCTCAGTGACGGCGGGATCGCCCGACGGAGGACTTATCGACTGGCGTGACTCCGGCGTCGACTCTCGTTCGAGGACGTGTCGACTTCCTTTCGATATGACAAAAAAGCTATAGACTTACCGTAGTAGGCCTGTGAAAGCTTCCAAGATATTAAAAAACGTCTATCGTGTAAATATATGCAATCGATTTCGAATAATTAAAACCCGATCGAAAGAACATACGTTACTACGGTACCGTTAAAACACAGAATTAAGTTTCAAGGAAGCCGACGAGTCCTCCCGAAGCCTTATATTAGACAAAGACCAATCGATAAGTCCACGAGGTTTAGGAGACCGCCATCTCGCCCACACTATATAACTAGGACACAACCGATACTGTCATGACATACGTGTTAAACCAATCCTACGAGGACACTACTGCCACAGGAGAGCGACACGAAGCGGAACCCTAGTTTATTCAGGAGCTCGCTTCGAACTAACTATCAAAAATTTAATTTACTTGTCAAAATAGAAACAGAAATAAAAAATCACTAAACAAGTACAAGCCTAAATATTTGCAATTTTAGGGATAAATTCTTATTAATATTGACGTCCCTCGGAATATTCGAATGCTGGACGGACTTTATTGAATGTAAAAGCGTTGATAGTTAATCAATCTGCTGTATTTCTGAAAGCATGTAATGCTTTTGAACAAACGTACCGACGTACTCATGCATGAATAAAATATCAAGGATATTTCATCATTCAAAAAAAATTCTACCGCGTTCAAGCCCGGCTCGCGCCGACGCACTTTGTCTCCCAAAAATCAAACCAAGCAAATTTTCCGGACAACTAACGTGGTCCTTCTGTGGCACTACGGTGACTAGACCTGGGTACAATTTAGCACTGAATGCAGGCATTCTTTGTCGTCTATTACTAGAGAACCTAGCTACTTGTGTCGAGAAGGCGGTCCGAAATTTGTTAATTAATCGCAGTGTCTGTACAGCGAGTTCATTGTAAACATTATAGAACGAGTGAATATGAAAATACAAACTGTGGATGACGCCATCGACGATGCGAACGGCGACGTCATCAAGACTTAACAAAATCGAACTCGCTCACATACACTGCCAACGACACAGGTATAACGAAATGGTTAGAATCACTCTATGATAATAATAGTTCTATGTTTTGTTATTTTATGTTTACTTCTCAGAAAGATACTATCATGCTAATCGACATCCGCTATGCCTCATTCTTTCATGTATTGGTATTGGCTTGCAATATTTATAGATGAAAATTGAATGGCTGTGACATTTACTTCGGCCAGAAATATCTAATAACTTTTTTTTAATGGTATAATTAAATTTGATCAAACGATACCAAACCAAAGGATTTCTATACTCGCATTTTGCTCTTTTCAATTTTAACATTGGTTATAGTATAATCGACTCATTTGCGCGCGTGGCGGGTGTGTGTGGGTACAGTCAAATACAAATACAATAATTTCAACAAACTGAAATTAAAAAAGAATAACTTGGACTAGTTGTAACTATTGTAAATTAGATTAGATTATTTCGTTATAAACAAGGTTATAGTAACCTGCTATGATTGAAGAAATGGATTCTTAAAAAATAATAAATTCTGGTAAATACATGTTTGTTGAACTTATTACTTAGAATCGCTACTACAAAAACCAATTTATGAATTTTCACTCAGCCAAGGTTTAATGACGCCTTTAAACTCTAATTTATGATAAATTTGTATCGGTAGTGTCTCTTAAAACTAATGACATTTTTAATGCTCGTTTGTGCAACTGGCTGTAATTCTTCGATGTCAAATAAAATTTTTATGGAGTGTTGTATGCACCCGTGTCAAACTATAATATGACGAATGACGTCACTTGCGTCAAAAAAAAATCACTTCAGTTTAGAATATTTTTTTTTTAGAATAAATATTGCAAGTGCAGCCAATAACAGAAAGCCACCCAAAAAAATACGATTAACTATAACGACGTCTATTTAAATAATCACAATATTAGCAGATGTTATGGAATATTCGAGCACTTTACCCTTGATGTGATTAAAAAACTACTATCTCATTGAGCAATTTAAATATTGTTAGTGAAATCATCTAACATTACATTTCTACTAAACACAATTCTTTCTCTTAGTCTGCTAAGTCTAAGAATATGTTTTATTCATTCATAAATTTATTAGTTATTATAATTAATTTTTATTATACCATTATCGAAATGTTACGATTTCTAAATCAAAATATTTAAAACTACCACTATATTTCCGTTAAACGAAATTATTACTGAATGATACCAATCGTCTAAAAAGAAAAATAAAACAAAGTAGAAAAATATTCGGACCATAGCAACACCAACTGTTACTCAAGACGGGGGGTTACTACCAAGATTTAGAATAAGAAGGAGGGCAACTTTTAAGAATCATTATCTATGCCTCAACATAATAGTCTATGGTGTTAGTGAAACTAGCATGCCAGTTGTCTATCTTGTCTATGTAATGTATAATATTAGTCTCAAATACGTTGCTCCAACCATAGCCCAACTATCTCGTACTCGGTGTAGTCTCAAACAATGCTGAGTTCTCATTGACAAGGGCTATATTAAAAAACAGGCTCTCACCATTTGTTGGGATTTGTTTAGATAACAAAATTATCATTCAAAAATAGTGTGACACTATTTTAAAAACTTATTTTATCAAACAAAAATATATCTAGTCACATTTCTCTTTTGCCAAGGAAGCTTCAGGATAAGAACTATATAAGGTATGGATAAAAGCACAACATTTGATATAGTAAAAGAAATTACCACAATATTTATATAATTTTTTTTACATCTAGTTAAGAGTTATATAAATAAATAGATTAGAATTTGTGTATTATCAATATGGGGCAAAGTGACATATAAATGATTTGATACAAATTTTTAATATGCACTAAATATCTAATAAAGTAAATATACACATATAACTAGATATTTTGTTCTATAAGTTTAACAACTGAGAAAAGGAAACAGACAGAATGTCAATAAGAACTCTATGCTTGTTGTTTATGCAGCACCATAGACAAACAATACTGGTTACCTACTAACTACCTATCCTAACAACCTGTTCTCTATTCACTGACCGATAAGGATGCTATCCGCTTGGCTCCTACTGTCTACAGCTGTCTTTGAAAAGATTGAAGTTTATTATGAAGTAAAGTCCTTTTTATAATAAGTTTAAATATTCATAAAGTGTAACACTTACTTCGTCAACCAGTTCCTTCAATTGGAATGTTATCATGTGACTTTACAACTTTCCTACAATATAATATACTAATAAACAAGGGTGTCATTTAATTAAAGTTAAACTCATTTACATATCATGATAGATTATTTTCTAAGGGTGTAGAGAGGACACCCTTACAACATTGAAGATTTGCTCAGCATCAACACTATTATTTCCATGGACCTGCTCAAGATTTGGCTGTACTGCTAAGTTCCAGTGCCTGTCCTAATGAACAAAACAAACTACAGCTGTCAGACAAATGTCATAATCAAAGAGTTCTTTTTTGATATCTACATTTTCAGATATATAAAAATGTTAAATCTTTATCCACACTTTTACAATTAAATTAAATAATACAAATATGTATGTTGCAAGATTAATTAATTAACAAATTTTTTCTTAAAATGAAAAGTGACGACTAATAGATTATTCAGTGACCATGATTTGGCCTGGATTTTTAAGTTTGTTTTTTAATGGTTGCATTCTAGTATAAAAAATTTGAATCCAATTTTTATTTTCTTTTATAATTTTTTAATTAGTTACTCTCTAACATTTTCATGATAGATTGTTGTTATAAATAACAGAAAAAAATTGCTATTTTATGCGATATACTACTCCACTTAACACAATGATTGCTCTATGTCAACATAGAAATGTCGCTTGGCAATTAATTTACTCTCGTTTGTCTTCTTTGGCTCTAACTGACCTGCCTAAGGATTGGTGTTTTTCAAACTAGTCCGCACATATGGCATGGAATGCCAAAGGATTTTATTGACAATAAAATTTATTTCCTAACTTGATGCCTAAACATAAATTTTAAATTATTTAATCAACACTTTGTTGTAATCGTTCATTAGGCTGTGTGTTCCAACCACGAACTTTTACTATACTGTAGTTGGTCTGTACTATAACTTTACATTGCTGTACTGATAGATGTAGTTGGTCAAATTTACAATTACCTATTGGCTTGAAGGAACATGGTTGATAAAAATTTTAATCTAGAAACATCTCATACAATATTGACCTTATCACACACTATCCACATGCGACATCCAGAATAGCAAATCGCGCAACTGAAGCCCGCTCCACAGGTGATTTACATGTAAACGTTGCCTTCCTCAATCCTAGGTATGATGCGGATCACGGTAATTTTTGGATAAGTTGGACTGAGGGCTAACCAAGAGTTGGTATAGACATGTGATGAGAAGTGAAGATTTGTGTGCAACAAATAGTTAACAGCATGTGTGTATCGGAAGTAAATAAACAGAGGGAGACCGAATATAAGTGATACGTGATACTACGCGTCGAATAACCGTAGATGGGATACTGAAGTAAGGTAACATACAAGTTTTAATGTTGTGGTTTATAGGCTGTCGCGTGTGGCTAGTGTGTGACAACCCTAATACTAACAGCATCACCCTCAATAAAATGTATTATGTTTTAAAAGTATTTATATGCATTTGTCAATATTAAAAAAACAGATCAAATATAAGTTTTTTTTATGTTATTATTATTAAAAAAGTAGATTAATTTTTAACTTCTAAAGAATTTATTGTATTGTACCTAGATATGACTGGGATCTAAGATTTTAAATGTCACACAATAATATGAAAATAGTTTCAATAATTTGTAATAAGTACAACAACTTATTAAAATTAGAGAATACTTTAAACCAGAGATCTGTAAACCATATCCATATTCAAATGTTTATGCTATTTAAAAACATAATAGACAATCCATCAAAGATAAATTCCATTGATATATTTAAAGTTGACATTTAAATTTACACCATAACTTATAAAGCCATGCATCTCACCTGTGTTACTGGGTCTTTCATTATGAGAACATCAGTGACTGGACCAAACATTGCAAAATATTCCCGGAGCTTCTCTGAGCTCGTCTGCCAACTTAAACCACCAACAAACAACTTGGATGGTGAGGGGGATGTAGAACCCGCAGGGGGTTGTGTGGCTGACGCTGTTGTCACTGGGGTTGAACGTCCTGAAGACGGTGATGTTTCTACACAAGAAAGTGGACTGATTAATATTCCAAAGCTGTAAACTAAATGAAAATACCCACACTATTATTTTATATGTGAATCATACACAGCCTTAGATTGTTATATCGCACTCCCGGTGCGACACTGTCACTTATGCAAAAAATTAGTTTTTCAGGAGAAGAGTTTTAAACTCTGCCACCTCACAAAACAATGACTTTAGAAGATACAGATGAGATGAATCATACGGAACATAGTTCCGTAGTCATAGTCCCTACAAAAGGAGCATTATCGCATCAAGTAAAGGGGGCTTTAGGACAATTATTACATATTTAACTAATTTTTGTATTTTTTGCAAAAGTGACAGTGTCGCACCGGGGGTGCGATATATCAATAAACATTAAATTGAAAGTTAGCATAAATAATAAACTCATATATTATTACTGTAGCTTAAAATAGTAACAAGTAAATATTTAAACATTTTTATATTCCTTACTAAATAGTAAAATTGAAATTATTAAAAAAGTCTAAAACAATGTTTTTAAAAGTTATCTAAGTACAACCAGAATAGTAACTTATTATAATCGATTTTTTTTTAACTAAAAATAACATTCTTTCACATTTTTTTGTAATGTATGTAAAGTACTTTACCTACAATTCTTATAACTAATAATTTAATTTTGTTCATTGTCTCAAATGATAATCAATAGAAGACACACAAAGGCTACAAAATTAATGTCCAGTAAATAAACATTATATTGTAGCCTATTACTTGGATAAATTTATCATCTGAAATCTATACTTTTGTTAGGGAATTGAATGCACCTGAGTATTTATATCAAGACCTATAAACAAATGATAATTTCTTTAATTTTTAACTGTCATTTTCATAAGTTTGCGATATCAACTCACTGATTTGCTGCACTGCAATTTGTTGTTGCTGGTGTGCGGCCGCGGCAGCTGTAGCGGCTGCGTGTGCGGCCGCCTGGGCACTCAGCACATGAGCGGTCAGTTCACCGCCCACCAATCCGCCCTCCAGCACCTCCACGCCGCCCAGCGCGCCGCTGGAATATAGCCCCATCATCTTAAACACTCCGCGCACAACTGACACTCAAAACTCTGATGTAATCGCGGAATAATGCGAAAAGTATCGAATCGGTGTACACTTTTTGTCCGCTTTCACAATTTACCGCCGTGACGGACGGTGCCATGAAAAACAAATTCCGAAACAAAACACAATCTGCAATAACAGCCAGATAGATTGGACAATCGAAAAGGAAACTAACAATTTTATTAAATCTGATGGAAGCGAGAAAATAAAAAAAAAAAAACAAATTCAAATAATAGACAATCAGTTACATTTGGAAAACCGCAAGCATTTCGGAGGTAAATGAGATTAAATTATTTTCAAGCCAAATCAAAACTTTTTCGTTGGTTGTAGCCATTTCAAACTTTTGTTTATGGTTTTTCTTAATTGACCAATGACAATGCAAAGCACGGTGAAGAGATGTCAGCCAAGCAATAAATACAAGCACCTATAGAACGTTAACGCTCACGTAATTAATTAATCTTTGGTTGGTTTTGGAATATCAGCCGACTTCATAAAAGGAAGTTTTTAGTTTGACCATATAATCAATCACCAAAAATAATAAAAGAATAGAACCGACTTCGAACTATAAAAAGTTTATGGAATAATTAGTATCACTTCTATGATAAATATAATTTCTTACTTCTTTAAAGTTTGAAGTCGGTTCTATTTTCGGAAAAAACAATATTTTAAATAAAGTTATAAAATCTAGAACTTCATTAAGAGTAAATTTATTTTGCTTCACATTATTTATAGTAATTCTATAACTTATTAGTAATAAGCAGTTATATGTAGTAAATAGCAAACAGAACGTCAAGTGCATAAATAACATTTGAAACATGAATAACTACATTATTTTTGTTCAGCTATTAATTACAACTTTTAAAATGACATGTAAAATAATTTATACAGCTACTCCTCAAAATGCAAAGTAAGTCTTGCGACTCTAGTGTAGTGATGACAAGTAACGCACGTGACGTAGAATTTATTTACTGAATGTATGCTTGACCTCATTCACGTCCAATATGCCTCTATATTTCGTGTTTTATGTGTCATCAAACTACCCACACTTATTTATAATAGTTTTATTGTTAATTACTTAGGTTCTTAAACAATTTTGAATTGCTTGACCCATCTGTTAGGCATTCTTATCATATTTCACATTTATTCATAGTTCCAAATATTCACTTTCAAAGTTTAAAGTTGTTTTTTTTTATTTTAATTTCTAAGATAGAGTCCTAAGATATTTTCAATGATTACAATAATTGTAATGAAATGCCATCAGATTCTGGTACACCTATATTAAATCAAGATACATATAAAATAAAGGAATACCCACACTAAAACATTAATAAAAATTTATTACAAATTGGTCTCAAGGCGGACCACAAAGACACATTAATCATTTTTGGCAAAATAATATTGAGTTTTGTTGAAAATCTCTATATCATTCACCAACACTATTGAAAAGTTGGTTTACTAGACGAGATATACGTGTTATGGGGCTAAACTAAGACGAATTATCCTGGAAAGTATGTAGAACAAAAATAGAAAGGATGTCAAGGATTATATCCAAGGAAAGAACGCAAAGTCTTGTGTCAAAATACAAAAGTTTTTCACCTACCAACGATTCGCGCTCCAACCACCAACATTATAGCAAACTGTTAAATAGATCTCGCATAATGAAAATAGAGAATATTGTTAAAGTAATATAATTTTGTTAGGAGAATGATAATAAAATTTAAGCTATACAAGTGCGCATTACATAAATAATATTATTTTTTCAAGTAAAATTCATAAAAATGTGTTTATAAAAGGTCTGTTTCACATTAACAAATTTCAGTGGGAAACTGTTTAGATAAAATTATCATATTAACAATTTAGATTATGAGGAAGCAAATGGGCTTAAGAAATAATATATCGTCTGCATATTTTTGCGAATGTTCAGGTATGTAAGATCTCTTTTAAGAAATCTTGAAAACTATAAATCACAGCCGTAGTAATTCATCTTATCCGCAACTGAATGTCCGAGAGGGATTAGGATCTTAAGGCAAAAATGTTAAGGGAAATAGTATGACGAAATATTTTGATAAATGTGTTTACATTTAAGTATTCACAACGATAATATTTTTCGTAATTTACAATATTGTAAAGGTACCTAAATTTTTGAGTTTTGTAGGTAAGTAAAGTATGATTGATAAAACGTATTAATATGTGATGAGGTTTAGTGTAGATAGTTTAAAGAATAATAAAGTAATTCTATTCATGAAAATCATAATATTGTAAAAAGCTATGTTTCGTTTTTTGTTCGTTATGTTGGGTATTCGCCTATTTTCTTATAAATAAATTCAGTTTAAGATGTTTTACGATGTAATCATTGCTAAAGAACGAATGTAACGAATGATTCTATAGTATAATAATAATTTATTGAAATTGGATTAGCCTAGTTAGACACAAATGCTAAACATTCTTAAAGAGATAATATTTTTTTCTGTTCGATAAAAATATTATCTCTCTTCGATAGTTGTCGGGTCGAAGGTGAAATCGAGAGCCATTTGTACCTTTTTTAAGGGTAGTTGAACTTTTCACATTACCTGCTAATGGACCATACCACTCAATCTTGTCTTTTATGTAAATTGGCAGAAAAAAGGGATCAAATAAATAACATCGTTTCAATTCTATAAAATAGAAAGCTTTTGTTGGGAATATTTAAATAACTGATACTGTTCAAACTTTTGTCATATAAAACTTGAATATATATATAAATCTATGAAAGTTTCTACAGTTCGGTATTTATAACGAAGTAGATAAAGAGCATTGGATACTAGCATTTCCAGTTCTGAGTGCGAATAACTCCTCAAATAAATGAAAAGCGCTCAGCGAGTGCGAGGCACTCAGCGCTATTCCCACACCTTTTTCGTTCTCAATATATCCTACATATAGATTACCAGGTCGATGACCTGCAAACTTATTGCGATGGAAATTGGAGAAAATCCTAATTTACTCGATTGACTCATGGCTACATAAATAAATGTGGCAAAGATGCACAAAGATAATGAATTAACCTTTTTTTGTAGTGGAAAATCGATAGTTGATTGAGGGTGTTCATTGAGGGTGAGACGGAGGCGAGGGTTGTGGGGGTGCGGTTGGCGCGTGCGCGGGGGCGGCGGGGCGCGGCGCTCAGCCACGCTGCCTCACACGCTTGCCGACACCCGCCGCCGCCGCCTCGCGCGCCTCTGCCATATTGTCCTGTCACAGCAGTACGTACAGGCTACTGCTGCGCCGGGACAAGCCGGTGGAGGTGACGCATTTACATCACATCGACCTCTCCAACGTGAAGATTGGATGAAGCGCCTTCTATTGTATTATTATTTTTACTATCTTTACGTGTTCCTCTGTTCCCAGGTCCCGTTGAGCAAGCTGGTTGCTGAAATCTCTATATTAGGAGTGGCTAAATCGATGTTGAATCTGCACATGTTGTGTTCAGTGTCTGTGCCAGTGCTCTCGTGATAGTGTTAAGCTTTAAACAAGAAAAGATTTAATACTTTATAACGTAATAGTGAGATTAATAGTTTCCAGTAGCCGGAGGGTGCATGTATCGAGCGGCTTAAGGCGCATGCGCCCGCCATCTTTGGCTGCATCCGATGGCGCCGCTCGGCCATTTTCTCCTGGGGTTGAATCACATAAAATCTTATTAAAACCATCCCACCCTCTCTTTATATGGAACTCGATATTGATTTTAGTTAAATTTTGTTTTCGTGTTCATTAATATTCCGAGATTTTGTATTGTGAATAGGATGGAGGGAATATTAGTTTCTGGTTAGATGTGCATTTGAATAACGTGTCTTGAAGGAGTAAACCTAGAATCTATTTTCTGTAAAAATATCTTAAATAACAAAAAAAAAAAAAATATTTTCAATGTTTGACAGAAAATAGTTTTAATATCTTTTAAAAGTTTATTATATTTCGAGGTATTTTATCAAATATTATGCTGCAATAGAACACAATACTTTCATTTCTCTTATTTTTTTATAAGTTTACAAACAATTATATTTTTTTACTGTTCTCTTGTAACTTGTCAGTTAAAACAAAATTGTTGGTTTATTGAAGTTCTCGTGATTGTGATTTTTTTTCCTAACCATAAACATCTTAAAGAGAACAGTTTAAGGCGGGAAAACTTTGTATTGCCAGTTAATGCTGCAAATAATCAACGAGCTGAGTCTGGGCAAATGTTAGGCCGCTTATCTTGTTATGATGTTTATTCAAACATTTTTTTACATATGAATAAAGTTACTTTAAGATAGTATACACCTCCTATAAACATCTATCTATATATATCTATGTACTATTAACTATCTATAAACTATGTACTACTAGAAAATAAATATAATTAATAAATCAAATTATTTCAGATTGCCAGCAAAAACATTATACCTATGATAGGAAAATAAATTTAACTAACGTATTTATCATTTATTATTATCATCAGCCCTTTTACGTCCTCACTGCAGGGACTCAGGCCTTCCTTATGGATGGTTAAGGAGGATGGGCCGTGACCCTCCACGCTGGCCCAATGCGGATTGGAGGGTATTAACGACTGCAAATGCAGCCGGGACCACCGGCTTAACGTGCCTTCCGAAGCACGGAGTAGCTCGAGATAATAATTTTTTGGTTACCCATCCCGTGACCGACCCTTGCGAAAGTTGCTTAACGACTACGATCGTGGGCCGCGGCGCTAATCCACTACGCCACGGTGCTACTTATTTAAATATTAAATTTATAAACTCATTCAAAGCAATTGCCTGGAAGAAATTACTTTTTAGTAATAAGGCCGCCAATTGTGCATTTAATTTAATTGTATTCGATTGTTTTGTCCTGTATTGGTGTACAATAAGGCATATTTCATTCATTCATTCATTCATTAAATAAGGTACACCAAAGCGTAATTTTACTTAAATTAGAATTAAATTGGCCTCTATACTAGATAGTTATAATAA